AAATCGTTACTAAAGAAAAGCGATCGGACCGATGAGGAATAGGTGTTTGAACGACCATTAAACTTTTCGACTCCGAAAGGCTTCTGGGACTCAACGGATGGTTTTGGCTAAGCGGCACTTTACTGGCTTTAGGATTTATTCGAGAAAAGTTTGAATATGCTGATTCCCTTGGTGCAAATTAGTCTGACTTGTGACAGTTTTTTGGATACCAGGTTCACGTTTCTGCTAAATTTGTTTGCCATTCAGTTTTTTGAAACCATCAATTCCATGAAATGACTGGACAAATAATAAGTATTTTCAAAAATGTTTCGCTGTTTTGATGTCTAAGCCTAGAATCGATAATAGTCTTGTTTTTTGTGGCTCCTAATTCACACCTATAAATTTTTTTGGCTATTCTTCCAAATAAAACCCGTGTACATTTCACGCTCCTAAAAAATTAATTCAGAAATTTGAGTGTTGAAAAGTTACTCGAAAAGGAGTTGAAATATTCAGGAAAAGGAGCGGTTTGAAAATATTTTCAATTCTCACTTTTCTTTCATTCTATTCAAGTAACATCTTAACAAATAGGTTAATTTCGGAAAAGGAATAAGTTTGTTCAGTTTTTCATTTTTTGCTTTCTCTAGAAAAAATTCATTCACTCAAAACTTTACGAAAGCAATTCTTCGAACCAAAAATTGGTGAAATAAACGAATTATTAGCTATTGTTCAACTAAAACACTTAAGATCGATTTTCAATTGTGGGTTTTACTTTTCTCGGATTTTATCGGGGAATCACATCAAAGGGTCTGTTGAAGGTCAAGGGAGTGTAGAGGTCACTCTGGCGACGGAAGGGTCCGGGCGGTATGAGACTAAGAACTGGATGTGTTGGACGTTGAAGAGTCCCAGCCACGGGATTGTTTTTACAGGGTTGGGCCAAGAGGTGGCGTGACAAGGAGGAGGAGAGGGGAGGAATGAGGTGCGACGAAAGGGTGCACAGGTATAGGATTTGACTAGAAGCAAAAGGATTGAAGACGATCAGACGGGAAAAAGTGCACACCCACTTGGTGGCATGGAGGTGGTGTTACGTTGACGGGGAAGAAAAAGGGTAACCTATATTGATGCACGATTGCTAATTAATAACTGCTTTTTCAGTATCGTCCCTAACTTCTATCTGTTTCTAGTGTAAAAAAGTAGGATGTCGGCATTAATAAAATCAATTTTGAATGCGCTATGCAACCGTTCTCCAATCATGGTCGTTATGGTCCATTTCGTACAGTAATTGTCTGTCGTCCCCAGATCCTCATGTCAGTTGTTGAATCAGTTAACAAATTCGAGAGGATAGAGCAGCCTTTGACGCAGAATTCGCACACTGAGGATCTTCGGGGAGGGGGAGGAGGGTAACGGAGTCGTATCGGCATGGGAAGTGAAAGGGATGTGCTGGATGTGATGTTGCAAACTTGTCTTTTCGTCTTTGAATTGTTTTTTATCTCCCTTTGCCCCTCACCACTCCCTCCATTCCATTTCTTCCTCCCCTTCCCTCCTTCATCTTCCCCCTCCCCCACCACTCTCCTCCTTTGCCTCCCTCCCCTCTTCCTTACCACCCCTCTGCGGCCCCGGGCGGCGTTGCTTTTTTGCTGGAAAGTGGGCATGTATCCGGGAGAGAGGAAAATTTTTGCAACCTCTGCTGGAAAATAAGTTGGCCTGTTCAATGGCGATTCCCTCAAACTTCAGCTCAGCTTCGTTGCTTTCACCGAACTTCCTAGCTGCTGGTCACCTACTTTTTGTGACTGTAGGCTGGAGAATCTGCGAAAGTAGGGTCATTATATTCCATCGAAGAATACGACGGCGTAACCGACATTTGTCTTTTGAATTACCTGTCAGACAGACTAGTTTAGCGCACACCTTCGTTCCGGGATTTCTTTGCGATAGGTCTCGGGGAAAACGAATCCATTTCGAGGATTCATGGGATGGATTATCGATGTAACTAGTAGCTGCTGACAGTCTCTGAGTTAGGAGGGAGCATGGCTCATGAATATGTTTTAGTTAGTTTTATGTGAGACTTAGAGCAGCCTGTTTCAGACTAAGTTTTCTCCTGCTATCGAGCAGTCGCGGTTTAGGCGCATATCACTTTCAAGGACAGCAGTTACGGAATGAACTACGTTGTACTCTTTCCTGCAGAAATCCCATATATGCATTTCATCTGTTCAAGTTCAAAAATGAGATCAAGACTTTATGCAAAAAAGGACAAATTGCTAAGGTTCCAAATGGACGTTTGAAAAATTTAACATCGGGAAATCAGGGACAAAATTGTTTTTTTTTTGTAGTGGAAGTCGAGCAATTTAAGAGCTTTCAAAAAAAGGGAAAGGCTTGAAGATTATACACTGAGGTGGCCTTACTGACATCCAGAGAGTCTCATGTGCCCAAAATTTCGAAAATAACAAAAGTTCACCAACCCTCATGAAATTATGCAAGGCCACAATTATTTGCCCATGCATCTGCCTCTCTTTTTGTTTGTCTCTCGTATGTCTGCCTGTTCCTTCTTTCTTTTCTCCTTACTTTTTCCCCTACCTTTCTTTTCTTCCTTACTTTTTCTATCATTTCTCCTTCAAATCCAGAAATTGCGAATTCCATAGTTTTTCTGATTACCACAACAAAGCGACCACTGAAGGATTTGAAAGATGGGAGCTGAGACTTCCGTCACAGTGAAATCGATCGCTATCGATCAGTGAGTACCGATCAATATTGTTTCACAGTGTCGAAGGCCCAGGTTGTTAGGATTGGAATACTTAGTCAAGCACTTCGATCGATACTGATCGAATTCATTGGTTATTACGTAGAAGACCCGGAACAGGTCAGTCATACACACCATTGAGCGAGTATAGTCGTCGAATCAGAACTTTCGCTGAATAGTAGGCCATCGTCGCTAATGAGAAATTATCGCTTTTGATAATCGCTCGGTACGGTGTGCGACTTGTAGAGTAGAAATTCGTTTCTTGAAAAGTTGTTTGGTAATAATCAATGTGTTTGAATGCTAGCGAAAATATTTTCGAGAAGGGCGAAAGAGAAAGAAGTTCGTTACACAAAGTACAACTTGCGATCTTGTATACTTGTACGCTCCGCCAAGCGTTTTATCTGGAGAGCAAATTAAGGATCCTATCTCGCTTGATCCATCCTTGTCGACTATTTTTCCCCGGATGGGGTTAGTCCAGGTTCAAAATTAAGCATAAGAATTGGGATAAAGTTTTTGCCGTCAATCAGTCCCATTTTTGGGCTATCATAGTCTTTTTCGATTCAGATATGTAGTGCTGTTTTGAAGCGTGTGAGGTCTATAAGATGAGGACGGTATGGAAGGATTGGTTGGCGAGTATGGTTGCTTGGGTTTGGCTCCGGACCCTCCCCCACTCCTCTTCCCTCCCATGGTATTCAAGCTCTTGTTCTGGACAAAAGTGAGTGGCTGGCACTTCGCATGAGCCTATCAACAATTTCTGCCATTTGTGCGACCCACACAACCCAACTTCCTACCTCCATCCATTTGAAATGCCCAACCTCAAACCAGGGTTGTCAGCTTCTCTTAGTCCTATTTCGGTAACTGATGGAGGGCTAGGTCTGATTAATTGATTATTAAATAAATTGTAACATCTAATTATTTTCTAAAACACAAAAACTATAAATCAATGTTTAAAATTGTTAGCTTTGAAATACAAGAAACAAATTGGTAAACAAAGTAAAATTATAAGAATACTCTTGTATGTAAGGATGTTGATGTGAAAAAATGTTAAGTTTGAACAGAATAAAAAAAGTTCGGCGAATGAAAGAAGGGGATTACTGACCTCGTTATTTGAGTACTTGACTCAGCGTAAGCGACTGCATATGCTCCAGTTTGAATGGCAGTAATGACAAGCACTTGTTCAAATGAAGTGGTAAAAGAGACGACGAAATAGCAGATGATCAATGTGCCCATGGCGATTTGCAGTAATGTCCTTGGAGAGGCTCGTTTTTGAATAATAGGCAATACAATAAACTGGACACCGAGCAGGGCAACGGCCATAACGAGCAGCACAACAGCTGAGTCGTTGGTGTCCTTCATGTAGGATCGAAGAAGGAAATTCCTCGAGATCATCTCGTAGCAGACATACGATGCGATGATTATAGCTCGAATAATCAGTCCTTCTTTAAGTGCAGTGTTCTTTGTGATCATTGGCCAGTAATCTTGTGGACGAAGACGGGCTGTGGCCAATCGTGGAATGGAATGAGTCGTTGGTAGCAAGAAAATCACAACAGGCATCAATGTGGCCATCAGAGCACAACCACAAATGAATTGTGAAGTCCTCAGTGAAGTATAGGCGGCCACCTTCGAGCCAACGATTGGACCAAAGAACATGGCCGCTGCCTGAAAAAGTGCATTGTCTTGGGTTATTGACTTAGGTGTAGTGCGTTTGTGAGCACCAGACCGTTCTGTTTCTAAAACAGTCATCTGTCTGTGTAGCATCGAAACCGACCCAATCAGATCTGTCAAAGTACTTATCGATTCTTATGGTAATGGACTGTAGGTGGGTAAAGTGAGGTGGTTTGTGGTACATGAAGCGTGTCAGCGACTGTTTTGCCTGTTCATTTTGTGCGCTCCTACCTTGGTAACGTAAAAGTGGAACATAAGAGATCCACTAATGGAAGTGGTCCAGGTTTTTTTCCATCTGCTCTTTACAAGGAAGCGCCCCGTGTGATTGAGATTTTCTGTGGCTAAGTTAAGGTTTACTGTCTAGAAAGCGAGTGTAGTTTCAGAATTGCTAAATTTTTTCTTTAGAGGATACTTGCTAGGAAACTATCCCGATGATGCGTGAATCTCGGGCACCTAAAAGTGCTGATTTTTGTGAAGGTCTCCTCGCCGAACTCTTACCGTATAACGAAAGGAGCTGCCAATAGGGAAAAGAACGTTTCATAAAAACAACCAGGACGTTTACATGAACGTAATGGCTGTTTTGTGATGTTTTCGCCGATTTTGTCTACCCTGGTCGATATGAGTAACGTCATGTTATTCCTGTATTTTGTGGCTTGGAATTTGACAAACCCCGGTCTCTGTCTGTAGCATGTTTAAGGGTTAGGGAAGTTGTGCGCTTTCTTCTAATGACTCGCCTGCTTAAAAGGTGTCAAAATCCTTCGGTATCTCACAGAACCTGGCGAAGTGGCGAACTGGTATTGAACCTCTCCTAGACTGTTAGAAAGTCTTTTTGTTAACCACCCCACTATGGTGAAATCAGTCGACAAAGTTCAAAAACTTGGCCAATGAGTACCCCTTGCGCTGATACCCCAATGTGAAATAAATCACGAGTCCCCTCTTCGGTCACCCTTAGAGACCTGATACTCTATGGCTTGGCAAGTTTACTCACAGATCGACAACCTAGATCTCCAAGAGCAACAAGGACTGTAATGGCAAAGTGCAATGAGACTATCGTTTGTCCCGTACCCGGTTCTCCTTATCTCAGTCCCTCCGCCAACCACAGCTTGAAAAGGATGAGCGACCTATTCCCACGTCGGCAGAAGCCCACCGCTTTTATTGTTTTTGTTCTCTATGGTCTGAGGACATATGCAACAAGCTCATGCAATTGTGGGTACGCGATGGTGGGTTAGTTTTTCTAGAAGACAAGCGGACATGGTTGGGTGACGTCAACACAGCACTCGAATCCTGTTTCTGTGCCGACACAAAGGCACGAAATGCAAGATCTGGCATCGATCCACACAACTTTAGTGGAATCGGCCAAAAAGACTGGCTAGGGTGGGCGGCGGCGGCACGGTTGGTTGCGAAAACGTGAACGTTCATGACGTCCAGTTCTGCGCGAGAAATGACCACCCAATTGTATTTTTCTCCTATCAAGCACAGCACGAGGATGTCTTGAAATTATTCTACGTGGTGCAGAAAAGTGATCGGGCGATTTGCATTGCTAATTGGAATTGAGAATTTACGTCTGCAGAAAGTCTCCGTCTGTTTGAATTGAAAGCGCGGATAAATGGAATCAAATGACTTGGGAGATCTCTACCTGTGGAACGGTGAGCCTCATCAATGCCGCTGTCCGTTCCCTTTCCGTTGTTACAGTAGCCAAATACATCTCTGCGGTACTATCCAATTGATATCCGAAGCGTAACATCTAAAATATTTTTGTTGTAACTTCAAGTTTTGGGTGGTAAGATGCCAAAAAAGGGAAAAGTTGACATACCTGTAGGAAAAAGAATCCATACCATGATTTTGCAATAGAAATTCCCGAATAATAGATAGCCGTAAAAATGCACGATAACATAAACATTGCTTTTGGTCCGGCTGTATCAGCCATCTAAAATGGAATATCGCTAGGATTTATGTCTCCGAAGCTACGGTAATGTTATGGGAAACTAATAAAAAAGAAAAATAAATTGAATTCTGAAGAAATTTTAAAATCACCTGTCCGAAAGCCAACGCCCCAATAGCATTGCATACACTTCCAAAAGCTTGAATATATCCCAAATCGACGATTGTCATTACTTCAGTAGTATCCCATTGAAGAAATGACAACAGGGTTGTTGTCCATTGTGTACCCATATGCCATAAGAAGAATATCAAGCATAATATGAGCATAACTCGTTGCCGTTTTTCCAGCATCATTTTGTTTACCGTATACTAACTGGCAATAACTGAAAAGTTGTGTTAAAGTAGTGGAATAGCTTAAGAAAAACAGTTTATACAACGAAGAATAGGTGATAGATATATCCCCCAGGATGAGCAACCGTGGCTACGGACTGGTTGTGACCGACGTTGGGAGACGCAAGACGCCTCGTGCTTGCTCCGCCCTACACCGTCCTATTTTCACTTTCGTCTCGTCGACTGTGTTCTCTGAGGGCAATACAGGTTTTGGTGCTTACAGAGATGCTACGATCACACCGTCGGTTTGGTGACTTTTTCGGGAACGCTGGTGTTCTTCAGGTGGGGGGAGGTTGTTCACGTCTTCTTGACAACTTTGAAGTAGTCACCACCTGACAGTCAGAGCAAACTGTTTTCCAGTCTCCACGGGTTCCGTGTAACTTCGTCCAGGGCTCTTGAGATTGGGAATCCCTTGGGTGTAGTGGTGTTTTTCGACTTTACAGTATTGATTTGGTATTGCTATTTTCCTGCCCACATCTTTTTGTTTTGCTTCCTGCAGAAATGCCATGGAATCAGCGAGGTGAAGCACTCGTCGAGGACTTTTCACCGATGGGTGAAAGTAGAGTGAGCGGTTGTGTTGATTCAGTAAGTTCTGGATTGTAAATTGGGGAACTGGTCGGTCTCAGTTCGCATTTGCTCATTTGACGAGAAGATCTTGAATAGCATAGACTTGTTCAGACCCTTGGTGGAGGTTCAATATGTTGCCAAGTTTCTTAATAGACTTACTAATAGTTCCTAGTTCTCGAAGGTAAGAGCGGCATTTTATGCTTTTGTTGGTCCGAAGAGCTGATCGAAGTGATCTTAGCCGCTTCTGATCGAAGTGGACTTCAGCTGTGACATTGTAACCGGGACAGAAGCGGTATGTATGTCGGGAAAGGTTAGGGAATTACGAGTCTATTTGATTAGCCCTATCATAACTCATTTTTTGCAAAATACAACCTCAAAGCAGCAGTGGAGAAACCTTGCAGAGAAGAAAAAGGGAGGAAGTGAATTAGGTGCATGCTATGCATGTAGTGCATGCCTGGTCGCGTGATCAGATCTCGGATCGAGTGTCACTCGCCTGTCAAGCGAGGCCTTCACTCATCCTAGACTGCCTAATCCTTTTTGGGTAGACAGAGAAACGTATTGTGCTGTCCGCTGTGTAGGGTGTGTAGTAGAAGACGCGGATTCAGTAGATTCATTACGAAGCCTTGGGAGTGGCTTATGTCTGGGACACGAAATGGTGCAGAATATTTAGTAGATTGGGTAAGAAGTCCTGGAAGTGGCTTACGTCTGAGGCAGGAAATGGTGCAGGCTGAGATTCGAGCATTTTATCCTCTGTCCTCGCTACTCACCCAGTTGCCTCTTTAATGCAGTACGTCCACACCTTCGCCCGTGAAATCAGCAAGCTCCACTGACTAGTCTGATGACTAAGCGTAACCCGAACAATCTCCCCGATTTCTTGGTATCCCTTGGACTTTCAATGAACTTGCAGCTTCAGACATCGAGACCTCCATCGTAAAGAGTTGGTTACCTATGCAGCCAAAGAGCGATTTGGAATGAACGAGTTGTGCAAGCCGTATTCTCGAATGATTTGATTCGAATGCCTGTCCGACGGTGACCAATCGTTCAGCTAATTGCTTCTGAGCATTCATGCTTTGTTGTTAAACAAAGCAACGAAGTCATGTGGTGTTTTGGCGATTCGAGCTATACGTCGAACCTCAAGAGATAATCGAGCCGGTTTCTGCTTCTGGATTCGGTTGATGTTAGCCACTGCTAATGGCTAAACTTGATTTGCATTGTGTCGACGGTTTTTTCTAAGGAATCGGATTAAAATGTTCAGCCATTGATGATAATGCAAAAGGAATCCTGAAGCCACTGATCGTCTTCAGTTCGAGACAATGCCTAATCCTTTGTTCATTGATTCCACATCATTGATCATAAGCAGGTGATTAGTCAGGTATCGGACTGTACGATTTTTGACTTTAGGTAAGCTTTGCCAGGATCTGAAGGTCAGGATGGAGTAGAGCCAGATGGCGCCCAAAGGCATGCTTACTTCGAGGATCCAGTCTGGAGTTGACACCCGCCCGTGTCAACCATACCTTCAATCCTCCGGGATCTGTTATTTTCATTAGACTCCTGTGGAAGGATATAAGCACTGGCCTGTTGTGCATCCGTTGGAGACTGCATAGGCTACATACGCATTCAAAAACGCTATTGAAAATCTGAATAGAAGTTAAGTGCAGGGCGTATTTCAGAAAGCGGCTTAGCCAGTGCCAACAAGTCCTTTTTTGAATTTTTTTTCCATCTCTCGACTTGGTTCCGTACATACAATTAGCTATCGCTGACATCTATGACACAATTGACGAAAAGTGCGAATGTGATAGTTGACAACAGTCTCACCCATCCAGTGGGTCCATCCTCTCATGAAGGAGTGGTCTTCAGGCTATGACTAATTTGCTTTTCGGCTAAACATTCAGTGCGGAAGGTGTTCTGAAGCCTGCCATTGTTGTCCCCTTTCTTTTCGATGTTCACTTGAACAGAAAAAATATAAGCTGGAAAGGCATGTTAGGAAGTTTTGGGGACTTCCGAGTTGGCTAGGCCAAGCTACTGTAGTGGCTAGACCTATGCCTTTCCTTTACTGGCTGCCTGTGATCCATTCGTAATCGGTCCATCATTCCATCGGCGTGGATAAGACTTTCTAAGGGGTTCTCAAGAGGAAGCCCCGGGAATTTCTTCAGTCCTGCTTCGAACAGCTTCAAAGGTTTTTTTTTTCAATTTAGTTTAAGTTTATCGAGTCGTTGGAGCCAATAGATTAGAAACCGCGTTTCAAGCACTTCCAATGAATAGGAGAGGGCCTTTTCTATTTCTCATCGCATTAATTGAAAATCTTTTTATTAATCCAAATTTCAGGTGGACTAGACTTGAAAACGCAAGAAGCTGCACTTCGCACTGGGCCGGATGTGGTTGTCGCGACTCCAGGACGTCTCATTGATCATCTCCACAACTCTCCGTCGTTTTCTTTGAACAGTATCGAGGTCTGCTTCAATCTTTCTGTACAATTGAGGAACAGGTGTCACTTGTAGTAGTTATGAGTTTGCTAGTTCGCAATTATTAGGTTGAGTCATAAGTCCTCGGACAAAATGATAGCGATGAATTCTAGAGATCATAACTCAGAAAAGAAGAGACGAAAATGGACGCGCGTGGCATCGTTAGATAGAGTATGAAAAACTCTTCAAAATACATACTAACGAACACACCTAACTGTTTCCTTTCCTGCAATCTTGCCCCATATTTTGAAGCCGTCACAGCTCCACCTCCGCAACACCATCCTATTTCTTTTTTTATCTGGCCAAGAACCCGCGGAGATCGATAGACATATTAAGGAAGTTTACAAGAAGGGTGCTCATGCTAGATGCACAATTCACAAGCGGCACACGAAGTTCATGTTGGACGACCATTCCATCGAAAATGAGGACCGTCCGGACGCTCAGTGGAGTAGGATTTGGAGGTACCGCGGAGCCAGGTGGAAGCCGATCCGTATCAAACTACTCGTGAACTGGCAGGCACCCTTGAGGAGTCAGTCCACAATTATTCGTGGATTAAAGTCAATCGGCAAGGTGCGAAAGCTTGGTCGATGGGTGCCTCATGCTTCGAAGCAGTATGACATGGACTGCCGCGCCGACATGGCACTTTCTCTCCTCAAGCTCAAGCGCAGGAGATGGTCAGGTGTACTCGTTAGTATGAATTTAGAAGAGCTTTTCCTACTCTATCTAATGATGCCTTGCGCCTCCATTTTTGTCACCTCTTTCCCGAGTTATGATCCCTAGAAGTCTTCACTATCACTTTGTCCGAGGACTTATGACTCAACCTAATACTTGCACTAACTGGAGAGAGAGGGGGAGGGGGTACACTCCTTATAGGTACTTCAGCTCCCTTCATATCAGAGGATTTTTTTCTAACGTTAGGGCGGCACCCTACAGGACGGAGCCCTTCCACACAGCGCATTTCTTATTTACCGGGGTTCACGCTGGGTTACTTAGGTTACTTCAGCTGATCCCATATGTGCTTTCCCTTTTTGTGACTTTGCCATGATTCACAATTGTATATAGTCATGGTCGTTGGTACTGATCTTCCCTGACTTTGGTTTCAAGATTATCCCCTAATCAGTGACAGGGTCCTTTGGTAGAACACTTATTTCGTTCAACTTATGAAACTTTGGTTTCGTTTTTAAAGTCGTTTTTAACCTTTCGCAGATTTTCCTGGAATGTTCCAGTGTCTTCTGTTGATCCTTTTGGATTACCTACCAAATTCGGGACTTTTCAGGTGCTTGTTTTGGATGAGGCCGATCGTATGCTTGAGGAAGCGTTCAAAGATCAAATGAATGAACTTATTCGACTTTGTGCACCGAATCGTCAGACGTTGCTCTTTTCGGCTACAATGACTGATCAGGTCAGTTTCGAGAGTGATTTTTTGCTATAAACCTCCGACGTTTGAGTCAACCAAAATGGAGCGGTTGACTAAGCAATTTCTCAGCTCACGAAGGTCGTCTGGTGTTAGAATCTAGAAGTTAGCAGGATTTGTTGCAAAGTAATTCGTTAGAGGTGGAATGTGCACTTAAGGACAAGTTTGAATTGCTGGGGGAATTTGGCATGTGGCTGCACCTGTTTTTTTCCAAGCCCACCACAAGTCCACTAGCTTCTGAAAGAGGATTTTCATTCAAGGCCAGCCCTATGAAGGCGACTTCTTACCGTGGCAATTCCAGATCGACGAATTGGCATCGATGTCGTTAAAGAAGCCCGTGAAGATTTTCATCAATGAGAATACCGAAACAGCGTTGAAATTGAGGTAATTTTTGGGCTTTGCTAGGTCCAGCTGTCCAAAGTTTTAAACGAGTTGCAGAATACGGTAGAAGTGCTCTGATAGAGCAGTGGTTCATAGTCTCCACAGAGTAAATTGAGCCGTTTTAAGCCTTCAGTGAACTGTGACCCTACCCAAGTGGATAGAACGTCAGGGGCCTGATGTTTAGGAGCAGTATTGACAGGAAATGCAGAGAGCGTATAAAATCCGAGGGCCGCAAGCCAGCCACTGTTCAAAACACAGCTTTTAACGCAACAAAGAGTACGAAATTAGTTATTCTACCTTATAACAAGAGAAGATTTGCTGATCAAAGTTCGGGTCGATTAGTTACCTGTCTAGGTGATCTTAAGTGCCCCGATGAGGGTGATCTAGTAATCCGGTTTTTTACAAGGGAATTTCCAAAGTTCAGAGTGGGAGTAAATGGGTCAGCTATCAGTCAGGGTTGGACTTCATCTTCGAACTTCGACTTTCCTCCTTGAAAACCGGACTTAGTATCGCGCTCAATCGAAACGCTTTAGTCGCCTAGATAGGTAGGAAATTCTCGCCTGATGAGGTCGATTAAATGATAGCGCACTCATTCAGGAAGCAAAAGCTTACACTTGACGAGTGGTTTACTTCTCAAGCCATTGTATGTGTTGGCACAAAATCAAATGCCTTTTCAATCCCAGTTTGTTATGAGGGGCATGGCGTATACCAGAAAGAGAACAATGCAGTAGCTCCTTCAATCCTGTTCTTTTTCTTTATACAGGTGATCCATTTTAGGCAGGAGTTTATACGTATCCGTGCTGGACGAGAAACAGACCGTGAAGCGATCGTTTCGGCTCTTGTCACCAGAACCTTTCAGGTGAACCTGTTTTGTCGTTTCCTTGAATAGTCTTGGTATTCAGCTGATCTGTGATCCAGAAACTCGGGGAAGGGACCGGCTGAAATAGGATTTGGGCTGAGAGTTCATCAGGGGTCGCTTATTTATGTATTTTTTCCAGGAGAACACTATTATTTTTGTTCGGATGAAAAAGGATTGCCAACGTCTGCATATACTTCTTGGTTTGCTTGGNTTGGTATTCAGCTGATCTGTGATCCAGAAACTCGGGGAAGGGACCGGCTGAAATAGGATTTGGGCTGAGAGTTCATCAGGGGTTGCTAATTCATGTATTCTTTCCAGGAAAATACTATTATTTTTGTTCGGATGAAAAAGGATTGCCAACGTCTGCATATACTTCTTGGTTTGCTTGGCTTGAAGGTACCCATTGTTATGCTTTCTACTTGATTTTTTGAGGGACTACGGCTCTCATATCGTGCTCCGTAAGCTTTCCTGTATAGTTGGTTCTTGAAATGAAAAAGATCAAAGCGGATCATGAGAAGGTACTCTTATGAGTATAATTGCAACAATTTATGGAAAATTATTTTGATGTCACTAAGTGGTATCATTCTGACAGAATTATGGTCAGTTTGACCCTCTTTTTATAAGATCGATCTATGTGCCGTTTGATGAGACATCTCCGAAGAATTATTTCGAGCAACCTTATTAAGATTGAAGGTGGAGGTGTTGTAGTGGCAGTGGTGCATTGTAACTATCTTATGGTCCGCGGTTCGAATCCTGCATCGATGTTCGCCTAGGCCAACTAACACAATCCTTCCATGATCGGTTGAGCAGCTTTGTCATGGGGATGAATTGGCTTGAACGTAAGCTCGCCACCGCAAGACATTGTGTAGGCAACATACGCATTCGAAACGCCTCCAATTGATTCTGAATGGAAGTCTAATCTGGAGGCGCACCTCTCAGGGGGGATTGATCGCGGAATAGCTGACTCCGAAGAGCTGACTTTTAACATTTTATAGACCTTACTGGCATTGGGAACCGATTCTATGGGCTATTTTATTATTTGTTCGAATAAGGTCGTAATGGGCGATATTTAGGGTTCCGGTGGCACGGTAGCTTAAAATACCTTAGATTCGCATCGTCTCAGACGAATCGAGAAATTTCGAGAGGTCTTTTTCATCTGTCGAGAATTATCGACAGTCGTCATTGTTTGATCTCTTCCTTCTCCTCTTTCCTAACCGACAACTAGAAGATTGGCATGTTGAGAACGATGTCGTGGACGTGTCTTCGGCACGGGGAAGCTTCAATCAACTTGGTATAACCCGGATGAATAGAAAAGCCTTTGAAGCAGTTTTCCTGATCAGGGGCACCATCACCATGTTCACTCTTCGCTTATCCACTCAAGAATAGTCCCTTGTTAACAATACTTAAAAATTACCAGGAGTTAATTGACCCACTACTGGTGAGTTCCAACCCTTCAGTTCGTAACCCTACCGTTATAAGCTGAAATTTCACTTACTTTCGTGGTCGCATTAATCGTCTGCCATTTTTGGCAGAGTTATCGTAAGGGCTACGTAGTCGTTCTTACAATAGAGGAATGACTATGTTCTTGTGGTATTTTTGTTAATTAAGAATTTTACAGGCTGGGCAGATGCATTCTTCACTCTCTCAAGCAATGCGTATCGAAGCGTTGTCCAAATTCAAGCGACGTGAGGTAACTTTTTAAAATTTTTTCTGTAACTAGTCCTTTTTGTTGGATTTCACGAAGGAGTACCGAAGGCTGAAGTGTTTGTACGCCTTTAAGATGGGTAATTTCAGTTTCTTTCCCCTCTTTTCTCGAGTTTCCTTGAGTAGAAAAAACAGTGAAGGGCTACGAAAGGATTTGACTTGATGCTTTGTATGGCATATAAGCCATTAAGAAGGTGGGGGCGAGCGGGGTCTCGGTAGTGTAAGGGATAGAGCACGATGTCCGGAAAGCACAAGGTTCGGGTCCTGTCCGACACTGAAGTTTTGTCCACAAATCACCAACCTTGTGAGGTTACAAAAGGGTTTTTCTCGAGGGATACCAGAGAAATTCAATTTCATTTCTATCTATTATCTATTTCATTTTTTATTTTTTCTATCTAATTTAATTCTTCCTGAGACCCTTTTAAAGTCGATGTTTTCCCGAGATGATCATCAAATGTATGTCGGACGTGAACGGTATTGAAATTTATTTCTTCGCGTCTTCACTTGGGAAAACGTTTTTATCACCGTTAATATTTATTGAAACATTTCTCAATGTCCTTTTTCACTCGACCTTCCATTAAACCCTGCTCATGGGAATGTCTTTTTAATAAAGATTGGAAACAAAACAAATTTCATATGTTCTGGGAAGTTATTTATACAATTTCCAGATCGATGTGCTAGTCTCTACTGATTTGGCTTCTCGTGGCCTTGACATTGAAGGAGTTCAGACGGTAAGTCTTTAGTGAATTCCGTGTAGTCCTAGTCCACTTGTTACATGTTTTTAAATCATTTATGTAATACCAATGGTTTTTCAGGTTATAAATATGCATATGCCAAAAACAATAAAGCAATATATTCACCGAGTTGGACGAACTGCACGTGCAGGACGTGCTGGCAGGTGTGCTAACTTTCTCTTGATTATTCCTTTTACAATTGCTCTTTTTCTTTATTGGCCTTGATATACCTCTAGCTCCATTACCTTTGTGGACTGGCTGGTTCTGATTTTTTTTCGGTCTTTTTGAGATTCAGCGGCTTCTCTTTTGTTTTTCCAGCAAGGAATTTTGCCTGGGGGAGCGTTCCTCATTTTGGATTTTTAGAAAAAAAAAAGATTTTTTGAGTGCTGTTAACTGGGTACCTTTTCTTTTGACTCAATACTTTTTGTCTTCCAAGAGAAGTTCCCCATCTTCTGATCAAGCCCTTTGGTTTGGGGATCCCCTACAGTTTTGACATCCGGACCATCAGCTGCTTACACCAAACCAGGATCTTCATATTTTTTTTTTAATCTTTAGATTCTGAGCCCTAATGTAGTCATGTTTAATAGTAATTCAAATGGGGGTTGAGTGAAAGGAAAGGAAACCACTTGTTCCACTGATTTCGTAGGTGTTTCAGTGAAGATCAATGGATCCCACTGGGACCAGTTAAGATTTCAATCTCTCCTTAGTCGTCTAGTTAATACCAGTTCAATCCGGATGAATAGTAACTTTGTCTGGAGCATCTGTGATCATTATATGGTTGTTTCACTGCCTGAAAATTTCTGGATGAGCCTAGTGCATGGCTCATCCCACAGAATGGGCTTGGTCATTTAGTAAAGCATGAATGAGGAGATTGTCATTATTTCTTTGACTGGGGACTGTATTAAGCTTTCTCGTCATGATGTTACAGCATGATACATAGGCAGAAGAACGTGGCCTGGAATTGGTTTATTTATGTAATACCTCTCTAGATTTATTTGTTTATTTTTTTCTCTTTTCTTTTTCTTTTTTTCTTTTTATATTTCATATTTTATTTTATTTTCATATTTTTCTGAGCATTCCTTTTTTACAGATCAATCTCGTTGGTTGGCGAAGATGACAGGAAGTTGTTGAAGGAAATTATAAACACGAACCCTGATCGAACACTAAAGCAGCGAATGGTGGCTCCTGGTGAGTGATGAAGTCATTGAACATTCAAGAAATGCTTTCTCTATGGGACGGGTTCGAGGCGCTCGGTGATGGTTAACTGGGATGGGATGCCCCGCGTATTCGACTACTTTGTAGAAGCATGGTGGTATTTGGAAGCCCTCAAGCCCATGCTATTATGTGTACTCCCTACCTCTGTACAAAATGGTCTCTTCCCTTGTTATCTGCTCCAAGAGGATGGAGGTTGATTGGCATGGGAGTATCTCAATCCCGACTTTGTGAGCTCTACTCTTCTCTGCGTCGCCCTTTTCTATAAGGCGAACTATGCAATTACTCGACGAGGCGAAATGGATTTCCGTGGGAATTAGCTGAAAATTGGGTATAAACTGATTTTCATAGAAGTATCAGCACTTCGATTTTCGTTGAGTCAAATCATAAACCCTTGATAATTTTTTAAGTTATAAAATTATGATTGCAGAAGTAGTAGAAGCATATCGGCAACGAATCGACTCGCTTGAGGAATCGATTCGTCAAATTGATTTGGAGGAGAAGGAGGAAAAAGAGCTGCGGTTAGCCGAATCAGCGTTAACAAAAACTAAAGAAAAATTGGAAACAGGAACTACGGAGCGTGAAGGCCGTGTATGGTTCCAGAAGCCTACGGTTTCAGGTAATGCCTTTGTCAATTCTGCCCAATTTTCGTTTACCACACCTCGTCTCTGATGAAGAATTCTGTTTTTGATCTCTATTTTACTAGTTTTGATGGAAAAGTAAATCAAGCTAGAATAAGCTTAACTGATACTTTTTGTCCTTCTTGTTTGTGGAAGAGAGGCCATGAACGAGTTTCGATTTGGTTTTAGAGAGAGAACGAAGACGAGCGGAAAAGAGGGCCCAACGTAAAGAAGAAATGAAGCGGAAGCAGGCTGCGAAGACGGTATGTACAAAGGTTTTTGGTTAGCTATGTGTTAGCAGTGTGGCTTGGAGTCCTCAGATGAGTTTCAGCCGGAGGAGATCAGAATGGAGCACGAGATGGCTTACCAGGCTCGTGAGGCCAAGAGAGCTCGGCGAGGAAAGAATCGTCGACTACGAGCGGTAGTTGAAACTCCGTTCAAGGTAAGCTGACATTCATCGTATGAACTATGAACATGAGGTATTTCCAGTCGTTTCTGTATAGTAGCATCGAATCATTGACATGCATCCGATTTTCATGATGCTTCCCCAGTCTTTTCGTTTTTGTTGGTAGAATTCCACTGAAAGTTTAGAAGCTCTGTCATTCTTTTCGGTTCTCTCCACCCGCAGAGAGTACTTATACCTACACTTAACGGCTCGTCTTCATCATTCGTTTCTGTCCGCAGAGAATGATAGATCAGATATTGAACTCGAACTCCTAATATGAATATTTGGACCACGCCAAATCCAACTCTTCTAATTTTCAAAATAAAGTCAAATGAGTCGTCATTACACCGGTATAATGTGTTTGATATCTCAATAGTAGAGTTCAAGAATGGATCCCTTCTTTCTTTTCCATTTTCTCCACCTCCCCATGGGGGGATAGAACTGGAGGGTTGAACTAAAACGAATCCGAAACGGAAGAAAATGGAAAATAAATTCGATCACCTTTTAAGGTGAAAAGGATTTTATATATACTCATTTATCAATGTTGTAAAAAGCCCTAGGAGCACTACTCATGTGTATACTCATGACATATCCGATAACCCCTCGAATGGTTGGTTATTTAGCCAGAGCAAACTGTCTACCCATAGTCCTTTTGTTAGAAAACACTAACTCAATCCCACAATTTGCCATTCTTCCAGGCCAGCCTTTATTCGGATGCAATTATAACAAACCATAAAGGTTTTTTCAAACTCATGGAACTCAGAAAATAGAACAAGATTCTGGACCAATATGGTAGTTCCTTTTCCTCCGATTGACAGAAGAGGGAGGAAGTACAAATTAGGATAGGGTCGAGACAGCTGTCAACTGCCATGCGTCGAGTCTCCCTCATACGCCATGCTTTCAAAAGCCCTGGCTTGAAATGGCAATGTTAGTAGGATTAAGCTGGCCGGCTAATGTGGATCTGCTTGAGTCGATAGGGCAATTCTTTCTTGATGGGGAGGCTTTAGAACGGTAGCTACACCATTCAGGACCTCTCTTACTCCCTCTTTCTCACTCTTTTCTCTTTCTCTCTCTGTGATTGCCTAATGTTCCGTGTTGGGTAACGAGAACTGAATTTATGAGGATCGATAATTTGATATTTCAGAGAAAGCATAATCCAGTCTCAAAGAAGAAGACCATGCGTCTCTCGGATATTCCAGCGGTAGAGGTTCGTTTTCTTAACGATTCAGTAGCCATTCGGTACTTACCAGGTCCCTTTGTTGCCTGAGTAAACCTGCTTGAGTAGTTTTGATTTGAACTGGCTCGTTGATGTCGTCCTAAGAACCTGTTTTAGACCTCCTCGACGCCTTCAGCAACGAAAAAGAAAAAAACTGGCGCCGGAAAAAAATCGTCATTCACGTCAGCACTTACAGCCATTGGAAAACGGGCCGTCAAGAAGGCCCGACATGGGTGAGAACTTTAACACATTTGGGAGTATTTCGTATGGATAAAGGGGTATAGTTGGAAGACTCTGAATACGCCATGCCTTGGAATTTGATTCTGAATCTTCCAGACATTGGGAAGAGTACTAGACCGATTTGATGGTTGTTGAGGTCCAACTCAAATACTCAGCAGATTCTCTTGCTGCACATTACCTATTTGCAAGCAATAAGTATAGGGAGGCATTTGAATTCTACTCAAGGCACTATATAATCATGTCTTAGGATGCGCCACGCACGCCCTTTTGATCTAGAATGACATAATTGCGTATAGGTACCTAAGAAAGTTGACCTGCTGGAAATATCCTCCAAAAAATGACAGGATTTTAGTTTTCCAGACAAATCTGGTACCAGTAGGCCAATTCTATAGGAATAGAAATTTTGGTGGTATGAACTGGATTAGGACTAATGTTCCCTTGCTGGGCCTTCTATAGTATGTCGTCCTTACCTGTTCTGCACCCTTCGTGCCGTATTGTCTGCTGGTTTGCTTCTAAAGAACCTGTTTTGTTCTTCTTTCTTAGTATGCACTTTTTCTCTCGCGTTTTTTAAAGCCTCATAGCTCTAAATTGCACTTTGCAAAGTGCTACCCAAAGGTGTCTTAGGAATGGTGGTGGTTGTTTGTTTTATTGAATGTTTGCGCAATATTAAATGTACACCGAGTTTATTTTTGGAATGATCGGTAAACAAGCATTTCTTTTTCACTCTTTACTTAGAAAATCTCCTCTTTGCACAATCCACCACGGGTTATTTGTGTACATTATGGCCTCTACCTCCATATTTAGAAAGGGACGTGGAGTAATGCCACGTGGCGCCGCTACTTTTCTCAAGGTTAGGTGCTGTTTAAGATCGATACCCGAAGCCGTCTTGAGTTATAATCGCAAGTTAGTGCACTTCTGAAAAGAAATCGAATGCATGAGCGCATCCGAGAGTGGTTTTGATGAGACCCTGCTGTTGCCTTCATGTTTGTTCCATTCTCTCTCTCAAGCTTTTTCTCTCTTACTCTCACTCTTACTTTAACTCTTACTCTTACTCTTTCTCCTCCTCTTCCTCTTCCTCTTCCTCTTCCTCTTCCTCTTCCTCTTCCTCTTCCTCTATCTTTATCTCTTTCTCTATCTCTACTCCTTCTCTTTCTCTTTCGCTTTTTCCCTTTCTCTTTCTCTTTCAGTTCATCTTTCTGTCTCTCTTTCTCTCCCTTTTTTTTCTTTCATTTTTTCCTTTTCGTTTTCTTTTTCTTTTGCTTTTTATATTCATTTTCAAACCCATTTTTTTCTGTTTCTTTTTCTTTTCTTTTTTTCCTTCTCTTTCTCTTTCTCTTTCACTTTTCCATCTCTGTATCTTACTCTTTTTATCATTCTCTCCACCTCTAATTCTTTCTTTTCCTTTTCTTCTCTTTCTCCTTTTCTATCTCTTTCTATTCCCCTTTCATTTCTTTACCTTGATCCTTCTCTCTTTTTCTTTCTCGTTCGACTCCTGTTCATTTTCTTTTTTCTGCAATCACTCTTTTCACAATTAGGATTCCATATAGGATCAAATCACTTTTGTTCTTAAATAAATATATTTTCTTTTTTTTTTGAATGAAGGTGGAAGTTTAGTCAATTTCATTTGGCATTCTGAATTTTTAGTATTTTTGTTTCAATTTAGGCACCCTACTCACCCTTCGATCTAATCTGATTTAGCGATTTTTTCTTTGTCTTCTAATTTTTTTACGTTTTCCTACCATTTTTCCTTTTGTTCTTTATTCTCCTCCTCAAGAAAGCTCCAAAATGTAATGCAGGAAATTTACAGCGATGCCTACCCTACTTTATACTCCTCAATCTGTCTTGTTTCCAGACCGGAAGATTCGCAGTTCCAAAAGGCACGGGTGGCTCATCGACTCAAAACGAAGAAAAAGTGAAGAAAGTTCTCTCTGTCAGTGGGCTCCTCTGCCCTATTGCTCTTATTGTTGTTGCGAGGTTGTTGTTGTTTATTTGTTAGTTGTTACTGGATATGTTTCTGAGCAAGGTTGAAACCATGGAATAAATTCTGAAAGATACCTTGTTGGCACATAGATCCCAGCAGGGTTCGATTCCAGTTTGTTCTTGGAGTTTGCGTTCTCTCTTTGAAAGGTAAACACAGCCCTAATCGTCGAGATAGGAATTCAGGGGCGAGAAATGTTTGTTTACTTTAATATTCAAGTGTTATTTATAACAAAACCAACTTTTTTTTTTACGAAGTTTCAATTAATCAAATGTAGTTTTCTTATCGTATAGTCACACTTCATAGGTATTACTCACTTGACCATTATTTTCCCAGCCAATTGTTTGTTTTGATGTTTACTTATTTATTTATATACTATCACATATTATTGTACATATTAGTCTTACAGAAATAGGGAAATTCCTTAGAGGTTCATGTTAATGCTCCATGCCCTTGACTACTACTAAAAATCGTAGAGGTATTTGAATGTGTTTTCGGTCTGTGCAGTAGCTTTGAGGGGGTCAGCTAACGTACCCAAGTTCAGCCCTCTTTCTTTCCAAATGTGTCTAGTTTCATTTGACCAACCCTGAGGGTGTTCGGTGACCTGGGAGGTGAGGTATCGGCCCAACGTTTGATCTTTGGGTCATGAGTGTCACGGCAGCTCCTCTAATTGCAATACCCATCTCCACCATCTTCGTGAATTGCTTTGAATTTTCAATATTCATTTATTGTTCATAGTGATTTCTCCCATGAAACTGGTGTAGAGCTCCCATATGGGAACTTATCAAATTCTTTTCGAAAGTTCTCTGAAGAGATTCTCATTTTTATTTCTTTGGTTTTTTTTATGGTAGTGAAATCGATCAATAATGTCGTTGCCTAAAATGTCGATGACCTTCGCCCATCTGTCCGTACAGAGCTCTTCGATGTAGTTTCCTTAGAAAATTCGATCGAATGCGAGTAGGAAAAAACTTGATCGTTACTTTGTAATTCCAGTTCCTGTCAAGGCAGTTCCCACACAGTGATTGTCTCAAGAAAGGAAACAACTTGTAGTCGCAGTGCGGCAAATTAGGCCTAAGGATTTAAGGGGAACCCCTGTTCCCATCCTAACTGCCTGGCTAATTTTCGTGAAATTTTCGGAATTCATTGAAATAGTCTCAATCTTCATACTGTATCGGTTGGTATTTTCATTTGAATACTGTTGTTATTTCTGAGTTACTGGCTGGGACGGAATGACGAACTGTTAGAAAACCTTCTACATTGGTTTGAGCCCAAGTTTTTCCCACAGAAGCTCAAATCATTCGGAATGATGAGCTCGAAACTGTTGTAAAACTCTTTCTGCGGGTAAGAACGTACCGAAGATCATTCCACCCGAGAAAAGTTTGTCACCTTTGATGAGTGAAGAAATCCAATACCCGAGTAGATGTCGACCCACAGAACAGGTGGTTCGGGTGTTGCTGAGAAAGTGTTGTTTTCCTGCTGGTCATTGACAAGGGTACAATGCGAGGGGGAGTGAGGGAGAGAGGAGCTGGTTAGTAGGCTGTTTCGGGGATAGGAGTCATATTTCATAAAACAATAGTACGGTAAATTGAATGATAGCTTTCAGCTGCATTTCTCACCCTACGGAACAGGTGGTACTTTGGAGTCGAAATTTGGTATGGGTTCGAATCCTCTGGAAGAATTCTCATCTTCTTCATATTTGGATGTTCTTGGTTCCGGATTCTGGAGTTCCTGAGTGGGAATCGGTCCAAAAAGATTCGAAGAGGGGAAGGAATAAGAAAACGAGTGTTATTGCCTTGGGCTTAACCATTTTATGGCCTCTAGTTGGTTGATTTGGTAGGGAAAAAATCTCAGGTACGGCTCGTCGCCACAATCCGTTTCAGCTGTGTTCAGACTGAATTAAGGGCTTCGTTATCCCCAGCTATTTGTCAGATGCTAAATAGCTTTAGTGGCTGAATATTTTGACCTAAACCTGGATCCCGTTACAGCTGAGGCCCTACCTAGAACGTACCCATGGCGTATTCCACCAAGGGCCTAGTAGTACTCAATCTTTTATTCTTTTTCATTATTAGTTAATAGGAAGTAATCAGTTTTCCATATCACAATCCAGTGCTTCTACAATGCTGATGCTCATTCAAATGCGTGGCTCATTTTAATGGCAGCACGGAACGCTTCAAAACTCGAACAACGCGGAGCATAATTTCTATCCATTTTGATCCAGTTCGGTCTTTCACATAGAATTCCCTGGAATTGATTGAATTTGAAAAGAACGTGGTTCCGCTCGGAGTCCTACGGAACCACATTTGCCTAAACTTGACAAAAAAGTGGTCCGCATTCGTCTTTTTTCTAACATGCCCTTTTGTTCAACAACTAAATTGCTCTCTCTATTCTCATTTCCCAATGGATATCTCACTCTTACTGGAGTAATAAGCTAGTGTAACGATGTAAAAAATGATGGATTAATTCGAGTTTTTTGTAGCTGCATCTCCAATGGCTTGGAATGATCTTGAGGGCGGTTGTCGCAATTGTCAGCGCTCTTACTCCTCTGGCTGTCCCTGCACGTGTCAGTCTTCTGTCGGTCGCTATCTGGTGCCGGCGTCTGCACAACCCTCGTCGTCTGCGTCTGGGTGTTTCGTTTTCGACCCCCAACGGCATCAGCTGACTGCTGCCATTCAATCGCATTGGTCTCACTTTCGATATATATGGAGCATGATACAGGTGTGTATGTGATGATTTATAATCCTGTTTTTTTGGATAATGTCCTTTTCCAACTAGTTTTTTTTTCATATTTCCTGATTTTCAACCCGGTTTTCTCTTTTTTTATCCGAAAATCGCTTTTTTGAAGTCATTCATGCCCAATATTGTTATTGATTGCTTTGGTTTTTGTTTTACGACGGTTTTCTGACAAAAAGGGCAGCCATTTCTTTTTTCTGGTTTTTGAACTCTGCTTCGGCCCAATTAGCTCCCAATCCAATTAGGGAAAAAGCCTTCGGGATAAGCTTTCTCACTATTGATCGTCGGGATCAATTCAAGTCCAACGATTAATTCATTTTGTAAATTCTTCCCAAACTTCCCATTAATTTTGACGGACCTTCTAACCGCCTACCTTTTTTTTTACACTATTTGTCATATCCAGTGTTTTGGACGAGGGCTTTCTTATGAGAAGGGTAAAGCTGTGTTCCTTCTGAGGCCATTTGTGAACAGAAAGCGTAGTTGGAATGTATTGTCATGTGAAAGTTTTTCGAAAGGACGAGTTTTCCGGTGATGTCTTGCCGAAATGGATTTTTGTTTACTATCTGGTTATTTGCTCACTTAAGGCGCGATTGCATGATAAACGGAATCGGGCCTGACGAACTTTAGATGGTTGGGAATAGGCATGGAAATAGATAAGGCATTTGAGATGATTTCATATCTTACCGATCAATGACCAGGGACCATTCCGGTTCCCAATACATCATATGTTGCCCAGATGGGAAAAACAAGAGGATAAGCCTAAAGTTATTCGAGGGATTGAGGACTATTCCATGATTTCTCTGTCGGACTATGGGAAGAGGAACTGTCATGTCGTTTTGAGGTGGTTTTTGAGGAGTTCGAAAAGGTTGCTGACCCATCCCAGTGCTATGAAAAAATTTGGTAGGAGGAACGGTTGTTTACTGTATTCAGTTGGGACGATTGTAGACAATAGTAAACCTAATAGGCATCAAGCCACTTCTACAACTTTGTAAAGAACAAGTTCATTTCCAACACCGCTGCTATTCTTTATTGAAGTCGAATTCGTGGCGTAATCCGTGGAAAGTTTAGTCAGTAATAGGCCTGTAATCCTTTTGCTTCTCACTTAATTTACTTGTAATTACAGTAACATTACGGTCATTGTAATACAGCGGTGTTACGGTAATAGTACTTAATAAGCAGAAATTAATGCTATGAGATTTTGGGAAAAGTTTTTCTACCGTCGTAATCTAAAATAGGTCCGCCCATTGCCTGAAAAACCGGGTCTCGCAGGCAATGGGCGGGTCTTTTTGGGCGGGTCGAACGAATTTTATTTTGTGATCATTTCGCAGTTTTTTGAAATTTTTTCGATTATTTTTTCTTTTTTACGATATGTATGTCTGGATCTCTTAATAGAATCATGTTTTGATCATATTTTTGCCGATTTCTTCCCATCACCTATTATGTAATACCTGTTAAGTGAGCGGGGAGGTTTGTTGTGTGGGATAATTGTTTCCCATGCAGAAATACTGGTTAGATAATGGACGCGTTATAGTAGATGCAGGCGTAATTGAGGACAATAATTGTAAGATGAGAAATTCAGAGACCGACCATCTGGACCACATCGTATCGATTGGCAACGCTGGGATGATGTGGGTGTACTGAGGTTGATGACAAGATTTTGAAAAAAATATCCTGAAATATAGAAAAAATCCTGGTCCATTATGTTTTGAGCAGTCTATGGTCCCATAGAGCAACGCCCAGAGATCCTCAATTCGTTGATCTGGTTTTTCTATCACGAGTCGGAGGCCCATTGTTGCGGAAGACTGCTGAAGACTAATTAGGAGATTAGTGAAGCCCTTCGCCCGGTTCTCAAAACGGGCCTGTCGCTGTTTTTGTTTATTTATTTGTTTCTGACTGATCCGACAGCAAACGAGGCATAAGGAATGTAGGCAATGTCAAGTCCAATAATTAGAAAAAGTGGGATTCCCTAGACCATGTGGTCAACAAGGGTATTGATTACGGTAGGGAATAACAATTTTTTGTGGAGGAGTGGGGGTGGGAATGGGGGAGGGGCAAGGGGAAAGCGTAGGTGGATCTGAAGAGTGAGTCATATTAGTGGAGCGAATTCCTCTTTACTATGTTTGACCCTGTTCTTCTTAGTTTCCTGCCATTTCTTGTATTTGATTGCTTGGGATTATCCCACGGTACTCGCCGAGGTGGAGGAGAGTGCTGCTGCAATGGATACTGTCATTCGGAAGAACGGAAAAACTCGTTTTTTTTTTTTAAATTTTAACGCCTGGATGCACCCTCCAACTTGGGAAGTGACGATTTTTCCAAATATTATATTCTTTAGAGATGGCGAATAAAATAACGAGATAGTCGAAAAGTTCTGTTTGAAAGTCTTTGAAAAAGTTCTTAAAACCTAAAGGATGCCCTGGTTTTTGCGTTCTGCCTTCACGAATTCTTCTTTAAGCTTTGAATAATTCTCGTCCGGATGGCCTTGATACGGTCTCCTACCTGGAAATTGTTCCCTTTTTTACCCCTCGCCTCTTCATTCAGTCTCCCATACCTTGACTCGCTACCCTACCTTCTAAGGCTCATGTAAGCAGCCTTTCGTGGAGTTCCTTTCCGTTTCTCTTTTTCCCTGCTGCGAATCTCCCAGTGAGATTGGATCATCCTGCACGCAATGCTCTCTGAAAAGAATGAATGGCATCCTTATCATAACCGGAACTTTTCCAAAGGCGTTTTTCATATCTGTAGTGTCGTGAAGCGAATGGACGACATATCAGCTGTCCATTGTTGTGGTTTGGATAGGGGCGACGAGGGGAGTTTAAAGTAAACTGCTCTGATCGGACCCACTTTTTGTACAAACGCTCTACAAAGATCCTTTCCTTTGGAATTTGATGGAACTGCCTCAGTGCTACTATGAGTTATTACCATTAAGTAAAAATGTGACTTCAGACGTGATCCCTGATTTTCGATAGAAAAAAAAACTTTTTTATCAGTTCTTTCAGCAATGAGCTTGCTACCTTCGCTTCTTCAATGTTTTCTTGAAATGTCTTCACTTGCCTTGTTGCCATATGCCCAGACAAGAGAAACCTTTTATTTCCAACGGGTCAGTTAGGTAAACATGGGGATTTCTGGATCTTAGGAACTCCATAACCCCTCCATCCGCCCTCCACTTCTGCCACTGTGTCTTCAAAACGTTTAATGAACTATGGCGATATGAAAGTTTGGATTCTGTATAGTTTCCATTCCACCGCTCCGTATTAGACGTTATCAATCAAATTTTTTTAAACCTCCTCTTCAGAATAAATGTTGACTTGTTGTTTATTTTCCTCGATTATTCATTATTGGACCATTTTTTAGTACTGCTGAGGCGTTTTTCTGAAGATGATCTCTTTTCTGAACCTTAGGGGAAGCGGTAGTAGACCGTAACGTACCGTATGTTTGTATTTTACTTAGGTCGGTTTAATTGTACCTTTGAATACCGTTCACCTTGAGTAGTAATGGAGCACCATCACCTGGATCGATTCCTCCATGCTCTACTGCGATCTATCGTGAATTTCCTCCAAACCTCTCTGTGTCCATCATCATCTTAGGTGGCGATAAATTGATGAGATCTGTAATTAGTAGCACTCTCTTCCTCTCCATACCCTCGACCACATCCTTCTGCCCCTACATATTTGTCACAATATTCCTTTTAGTTTGAGGGATAGTTCATTTTCCGAATAGGCATTCAGCTTATAAGGTATTTATGAAGATGAGAAAGCCGACTTTGGGGTTTAGCAGCTGATTATCTTTCCATTTGATAAATTACACTCTCAAGTGTTTCGGTGCCTCTATGACAGGACTTATTTATACTTGAGGAAGGTGATAGGAAATTTTTACGTCCATTCCGGAGCGTTGCAGATACGCCATGCACTAGGTCTTCTCTTCTCGTCGAGAGACATTTCAATTCATTTGTAAATGAACATTAAGGACATGCCGAAGAAGACAGCCAGCTTCAGAATTTGATGAACTCGTCAGGACAGTTTTGAATCGTGAGGGTTTTGTCTCTATGATTATCCTAATGTCAAATTAGGCGTGCTACGTTTATATGAGACAGGAACAGATTAGCGATCGAATTAATTGGCTGCCCTTTCCATCTGCTATGTTCAGCGGTTGCGTAGCCCGATCGACGTAAACGAATCCTTCGGGTTCCTTTGCAAGCATCGGTGGTTCAGTGGTAGAATGCTCGCCTGCCACGCGGGCGGCCCGGGTTCGATTCCCGGCCGATGCAATGTTTTCCTCTTCTATAGCCACAGAACTTTCAGTTTTCTTCGTTGCAAGCATGGATGGCGAATCGTATTGGATGAATATGATCCGAATCTCAAGCATCGGTGGTTCAGTGGTAGAATGCTCGCCTGCCACGCGGGCGGCCCGGGTTCGATTCCCGGCCGATGCAACGTTTTCCTCTCCCATAGTTCCAGCATTTTCAGTTTTCTACGTTGAACGCATGGATGGCGATCCGAATCGGATGAATATGATCTGTTCGCAAGCATCGGTGTTTCAGTGGTGCAATGCTCGTCTGCCACGCGGGCGGCCCGGGTTCGATTCCCGGCCGATGCAATATTTTCTACTTGTTTGCCATGACACGTTGGGGTTTCTCCTTTTTAAACAAGCAGTGTCAATCGTACCATGGGCCTTCGGAGTCAATTGCAGCACTTCTAAAGAGCTTCTGGCTAAAGAGCTTTCAGCTACACAAAGCCCTCATACTAATCCTCTCAATCCACTAAAGGCATCTCATATCGGCATTAATCTGTTCATCTAGGCACAAGTCATCGTATTCGCTGCCGCTAAACAGTAGCTTGTCATGACTGGAATGCTCTCTCGACTGCTTCCCACATTTAAGTTTTGAATTTGATTTTGTTGGAGATGAGATTCAGGATTTGAGAGCTACTGAGTGAGAATCTTGTTGTCATTGGAAGAAGCATCCGTTTTGGGATTGTTCTAATTTACCAGTCTCGCCAGTACAAATTAATCCCGTTGTAGAATCGAATTCTGCCGTGAGTATAGACTGGTCTTGCTTTTTTTTTGCTATTTAGAACGTGTTTTTCAGCCAATTAAGCCTTCTCTGCAAACATCACCCGTTCCAACGTAAAGGGCAAAGAATTTTAGTCCAAATCGTCGCCCCCTCTAAGACCACCGTCTCATGATAATCCGAAACTGATGGACACAGGATTTTGGCTAAGAAAGCCATCGCATTAGGGATTGATTCATATTTAATGGGAGAAGAAAATGAAGCAGCTCCTACATACTCTGTCCCTTCCATGCTTCTTTATAACCTTATAGGGAGGGGTTAGTACCCATCGTTATCGCTTGTTCTAAATAGTATCGCTTGTCACCTATAGTAGGGCATTTTCAAGGAGATGTAAAGTTTGGCAGAGAGCCAACCACACCGTTTTGTGGTCCAGGACCATTAGAGCGGAGTGTCAAGGAGTAATGGAACCCGGAATCGAGCGGACGCAGGGCTGACCAGTTGTCTGTTGATGTTTTGTTGGGAATCTCATGCATCCTCGCTTTCGAAGAAAAGGATTAAGTTGTTGGCGTTGACCAATCCTGTTTGAAAGGTGAAAAAGTAGTCCTGTGAATGCGCCATGCTTTCAGCATTCATTCAGAAGCCTATTAACAAGAGGAGGGTTGTTTGGCTTTGAAAATGAAATGTGTGGCTAAGAGATGTAAATGGTAAAAAGTCTGTGAGATGTCAACTACGTTTGTTTTCGGACAACGCGAAGCGGGGCAGAAAGTCGATCCGGAAGTCCGATAATAGGTCCACCAGGCCGATATGGGACGTGTACCTGTTTGTTTCGACCGATTACTTCAAACCTACCTATCATTGGATTCGCAGGCATCATCTGGAGATGTGTAGAAAGATTTATATGTTTTTGAGGTGGCCACTGTGACCTACCACTCTCTCCTTTGTCAGAAGAAACATCTTTGACACCAAGATTGTTCTCGGTTCTCTTTGCCATTGTTCTCAGTTTCGTCGGAGTCGCATTTAGGAAGAAACTGGTCTACTAGCAAGGGTGCGCTATTACTCATGCGTCTGCGGGCTTATTTGGTAGCGATTTTGCCTTTACTTAAAGTTTCGGACCGAAAAATATGTGAACCGATCATTCGGAATGTGTCTGATACGTTTGAAGGCCATAATTGCTAACGTCACCTCAGAGGGATAAAGGGGCCTGGGATAGTCTACCGGAAAATTAATGTTGGCCTAGACCAAATGATTTCCCTACAAAACCGCTCCATTCGAATACGATGTAGGGCCGAAGTTTTATTTATTTATTTATTTATATTTGGTATAAATGTAGTTGGGGGGTGCCAGTGCCTTTTTGTGCTCTGCGTCTCTTCATTTCTTACTACATCTAATCATCTCACCCGTCCCGAAGCTCCTCCCCTTCTAAAATTTAGGGAAGGAGCTCCGGAGTGGGTGAAT